GTATTAGGGCTCTGATTGAATATTTCCTCAATACCAGCATATAGTTCAGTGGAATATAGAATCTAACCCAAACTGACTGTGAAATATCTGCAAACTGTGTTACATATTGTATACGACTATTATAGATACTGTCCAGTCATGGCTTTAGTATGGTGTGTGTGCTCATGTTTGTGTTCCTTCTGCGGAAACATTAATTTTACAAACATCAGCCCAAGGCTACTAAACACATCCAATCCATTATGGTGTGCTTTATCGTGTTATGGCGGGCTAACGGGCTGTAAAGCTGTCCCGGTCATAAAGAGCGATCGCGGCGCACACAAGAAGTCAGAAACAAAACCCTGAGCTCTCCAAGCAAACGCACCCCCTCCACGTTATCATCCAAACAGCTCTGTCACATACTTAACCTTTCCAGACCAGCCTTTCTGCATTATTTTCCAAATGACCTTTAGCGTTACTTATTTCATTTCCGATAATGCCGTACTAAATAAAGTTAAGCGAATCAAAGCAAAACGTGTTTGCTTTGGTCGATAAGGATCGTGCACGCTAACTGACATGATAGTGAAGATGGGTACCAAAACAGTAAACATTTCTGATGGGCGGAATTAATTATTTTTCATATACACAGAATAATATGACCTAAAAAGCACACATAACAATCCTGAGTTGGGTATAGGCGAGGAGAAATGTCTATTCAATCAAGATACAAGCTAATTTAGAACTTTTTCTAACGGTTGCAAATTAATTATGCAAACATAACGCGGCTCGTGGTTTCTGGCTTGTTGAGAGTAAATATTAAATGTTTACATATGTTGTGTGATAACGAATTCAGTATTTTTGCATACCATTTCGCTCCGCATGCACATGGGTGGGTGATCCTTTTTGGTCACATAAACCTATATAATTTACTAAGGCAATGAGCTTTCAAATGTCGTCTCCTCACATAAGTACAGAGCTATAGCCTGGGTGTTGTACTTTCAGACACAATCCAAAGCCTTAACAGTGAGAGAGAGAGCGCTTCACACCAGTCTTCAAGAGTGGAAATCCGATGAAGTCGCTAATGCACGTGATGATTAAGTGTAACTCAAATACCGACTGTGTTGTTCACCGACCTGACAGGCCGTAATTTCCTGTATTATATTCGCCGGTTTTAATTGCACGCCACCAACATCCCTCTGACACGTTATGAAGCGATGATGTACAATTATTTCGGGGGCGGCAGAGAGATCAGGGGAGTGACATTATAATCATCCTCATAGGGATCCCTTTCTTCATCTGCAACAACCATTAACATTGAAATGGAGGAGGAGACAAAAAAACACATTAAAATAGTCTGAGTTATAACCAGATTATCACGTCAGGGAGGAAGAGGGGTGGTGGTGGTGGGGTGTGGTGGGAGTGTGGTGGGGGACACACAATGGAGGGGCTGAGTTAAGTGATGGCTTTCTCTGGATAAGCAGAGCACTAAGATGCTCCTCTCCTGTCAAGGCCCGGGCCTCACACACGCACGCACCACACAGACACACAGACACAGACACACACACACACACACACACACACACACACACACACACACACACACACACTGGTACAGGCCTGGGCATTAAGGCATATTACAGAGGATGAGCCGGGGAAGGGAGGGGAAGGCGGAACTGAACTGATGGGGCTATTCTGGAACCAGCAGAGACACACTCACAGACGGGGAGACACAAAAGCCTGACACGAGCCAGCCCTATCCTGTTCCATTCGAATCACACCAACATGAAATTATGACTAAATATACTCACTCCGGACTCGGCTAGTAAGTCAACGGAGGAAGAGGGTGAAAAAGACCTCTCAGATACCGAAATGACTGACAACTTTTTTTGTTGATGAAGAGAGAAACCGTTAAAGTTTAAACTAGTGCTAGTTGACAGGTAGTTCCAACTATAGTGGCCATCTGGCTGATATGATATCATAGAACCAGGTCCAATGGGAGGACCATCCATGATGTTGTTAATACTTCCAACGCCTTGGCCCCCAGATATTAAACCAATGCTTCACAGCGTTTAGACTCCTGATGCATAATTTAACACCTACAAACAGCACAGGCTGTCCACGGCATCTTTAGGGAGGGTGAGGCGAGAGCGGTGGGGCTATGGGGGGGAAGTGGTGAGGGTAAGGGATGCTGAAATGCTGAATCCAGGGCCTTTTGGGAGGAGAGAACATGATGGAGGAGAGGAAGGGAGTGCTCATTAAATGGCCTAGGTCCACTGGTGGACCGACACACACCACACAAAAGGTGTGTTAAAAGGCTTTTTTTCCAATTAAATACAGTATGAGGAATCTTGTCGTACTGTATGTGCTAGGGGGGGCAATTTGTGTTTTTCTGCTGTTTTTGCAGGTTGTTGTTATGGCCAGCTTAGGGCTACATCAATCAGTTTGGAGATGTCATTGCCGCAAGATTCAGTCTTTTAATTCTTAGGTCTAAGCCGTTGGGGTGGGGTTCTAAGATGACATATGGAATTGTTTTAAGATGGGCATACCATGGATCATTTAGCTATTTGATTTGGAATTTTAGGACCCCTTTAGGTATTCCCAAAAAATATTTAAAATATTGAATTTGGAATTTACTACTATAGTCCATAGAAATGCATTGAATAACACATTCATAAATAGACAGTAAAAAAATTAATCATAAGGAATAAGGTTTTGAAGAGTCTAGGAGGTTTTAATGATGAACGTGTCACTCTGAAGGACAAGAAAGACACAACAAAAGAGAGAGGAACCGAAACAGAAAAGAAGAGAGTAACAGAAAGCTAAAAGAAGGGGGAGAGAGAGAGAGAGAGAGAGAGAGAGAGAGAGAGAGAGAGAGAGAGAGAGAGAGAGAGAGAGAGAGAGAGAGAGAGAGTGTGTGTAAAGGCATGGTGTACACACAACACAGCCTACCTATACTGAACAGCCCTCTCACAGCCTTCTCACGTTTGATTGGCAGCCGGGTCAGAGGTGCCTGTCTGTCCTGGCCTTGATTTGCATTTGTTAATTAAATGCCACAACAATATGATCTTTAACTATCAACAACTTCCCAGAGTCCTCTGCGGAGACGAGCAGCCCTCCGCAGCTCCCCGTGGCACTTGGCTCAGCTAAAATGAGGTGGACAGCGGAGGTGCACCACGTCCATTTGGGGGCGTCTCAATCGTTAGCGCACAGTGTCAAAGGCGGGTAATATTCTCAGCCACAGAGTTCACCGGGGGGAGCGCCAATCGACAGCGCAGGGAAAAAGACCACACACGTGTTTAGATTGAGTTAAACAACACTGCTGCTCCTCCTCAACATGGTACCAAGAGCAGGAGGAGCTCACTCTGTGATAGTAATGGGAAATGAATGAATAGACTACTGGTTTGTCTCGCAAAGCAGTGAAGTCATGTAGAACCATAGAAATATAATTACTGATGAATGTTCCAGTCAAATTGCCATGGTCTGAGGGGCTTTGTACGTTCCAGTAATTGTATCTCTGTGTGTAAAACCACCACATTTTGCTAAACTGATGAATTTCAATTTTGTAGTTCCAGAAACTTTGGTCGCGTAAACTTAAGTTAACGCTTCAGCTATTGTAATCAAGATGATAAATCGTAATAATGAGAAACAATTTCATTAGATAAAGAGGGTTTTGTTTCGAGAAATATCACCTCACCCAGTGTGTGCAACAGAATACCTAATGGCCAGTTTACATTGTAATCTCGCTTTCTAGGTCAGCCCAAACAGAAAAAGGGAAATTGCATTAACTGAGACATGAAACAGCCATTAGCAACAGCTCTGCATTCAGATTAAGGAAGCCAACCACATATATGTAGGCCTATATTATCTAATCTGAATACTTTAGGAAGGCTACTTTGGCCTTAATGAGGGTGTTTCTGGTCTGTTCTTTGTTTGCTGCTCTTTAGTCAAGAGGAAAAGTTGCCCCGGTGATCAGTCAGCAGTGAGAGCGCGCACACACACACACAGGGCCGATTTGTCACAAGTGTCTGGCTCAGGCGGGAGATAGCTCCTCCATCCGCATGATTTGTGAAACCAGAAGCTGTATTTAGTAGACTCATTTAAAGGCAGTCAGGCACATTGGAGAACTGTGTTCTCCCTCTGTGTGTGTGTGTGTGTGTGTGTGTGTGTGTGTGTGTGTGTGTGTGTGTGTGTGTGTTCTCTTGGTCAAAGCCCTAACACATTTATAGCACTTGGGGAAAAGGCTTTAGCTGGAGGGCTTGTGAAACATGAGCCTTTTTCCTCATTAGAGGTAGCTGTGTTTAACTAAATCTGTTTGCCCTTCTGTAAAACGTTTGTGAAAGGCGGCGACAAATAAACACGGTCATTCCACTCGACTGTGGCAGACAAAAAACATAGCGACCGAACTAAACGCAACACATTTAAACAAACAGTTTACACAGAAGCACTGAGGGAGACTAAATAACTACACGTCTTCATCTATGTATCACATAGCCGCAGAGAACATGGTACAAGCTGAAGATCCTGCTATTTAGTCCATTTCCAAATTACACAGAAACAGTCCTACATGTCTATGTGAACACAGTAAGACGGTAGGAAGATCTAGCATTGGAATGAAACTAACGGAACTGAACTTGGCCTAAATGCAGTGTTTCTGTGGCCGTATGAAAGAGACGCAGAAGTATTTTACGTTGAGTTTATAGGCCTAACCCTACGCTGGTGGGTTATAATGTTGACTATGGTGAGATATGACAGATTGTACTGAAACATATCCCAATAACAGAAGAAATAATGGTTTGTAGAGCAAGAGGATCTTTTTCTTGTGATCCAACCTAACTGGCAAAAATTACTTAAAAACCCAATAAAAAAGACTGTAAAACAAGCGTTTCTTCTTAAGTTCAGATAGTACCTTGCCGTTTCATTCCGTTTCTGACCTTTTTTCTTCCGTTTGGAACATACTGAACACGACCCTGGCATCCCCAGTTAAAAAGGTAGTGACTAGTCACTGACTGTGGTACTCACCCACATATGTGGCACTTGTATTCTCTCATGCCCAGATGTCTCTTCACGTGGTTCCTGGCGTCACCCAGCTGGGCGGTGGCAAAGTTGCAGATTTTGCACTTGAACGGCTTCGATCCTGCAGAACAATAAGTGAGGTCAATTTATCCTACTTGATCTATTGGAAAAAAATACACAAATTATTATAAACAGTATACTAAAAAGAAAGGAGTGGTTCTAGATGTTGGGGTGAAGGTAGAGAAGAGCTATATGACCAGAGGGGAGAACATGGGGGCACATTCTTTAATAACATTCAAACAGAAAGATCTTTGCACAATTGCAGAGACGGTGACACAAGAACGATGACGTGGTGAATTCTTGTTGTTAGTCAGGTTGTTGAACTCTGGAATATTCTTAACAACTACTGTACTACTTTACTGCCCAAGATTGACTGTAAAACAACCAGATGCCCTGAACCCAGAACATTTACATTTTAGTCATTTAGCAGACGCTCTTATCCAGAGCGACTTACAGATTTTTCACCTAGTCGGCTCGGGGATTAGAACCAGCGACCTTTCGGTTACTGGCACAACACTCTTAACCACTAAGCTACCTGCCGCCCCATATAAAAAACATAAGCTTGTACAGTGAGTACATTACTTTTCTCTCCTTCAATCTCCTCCTCTCTATCTTTCCCCATCCCTCTCTCCATCTCTCTCTTACTTACTCTTCCTTCTTTTGCTTCTGGATGCGTAAATTGGATACCAAAGGTCAGGCAGAATACGTAAATCAATTCTGTGTGCGCTCACTACCCCGTTCCATCATTAAAAGCGCTAATCACTCTGCCTGGCTTTGCAGGGAGGTTTTCTTCTAATTATTCTCATTAATAAATGGGGAGGGTGGGGTGGCGCTGGCGTTTGAGAGAGTGGCACAGTCTCTGCCTGCCATTTGTCATTTAAGAGCAGCAGAGCGAGAGAGAGGGGCGGGGGCTACTATGGACAGTCAGCACCCATGATGGCTAGACGGGACACCACACCATAGGCTAATAGAACACACTCACTGGGGATGGCCTATTCAATCAAACAAGCGCTGCAGCATGCCGCGGAATAGTACCGTAGCATTGTAAATATGTCCAAAAATAATGGACAGTGCTGTTTCAGTTAGCCTAGTTATAACATTTACGCATAAGTCAATTCATGATTGCAACAGTGCTATTTTTCCTAAATTAATTGAACCCAACCATTGTTATTTCTTTGTGTATATAGAATATACACAAGATGTGTATGCAACTACAAGTAAGCGACATTCATGTGGATGGTGCCGCATAGACTAGGGCCAGGTCCCATGCAGATAGACTAGAGTAGCAGTTCTCCAGTATGACACACCAATCTGACTGGGAACCTCCTATGATATACTCGCTATGCATTTTTTTACAAACCACTCTCCCAGTGAATATCCCAAGACACATTGCAATATTTATTTCAGGGGCAGCCGCTGATTTGATTAAGCACTTTGTGTAGATTACTAATTCGTTCATACATGGTTCACTTGCCACGAGCTGGAAGTACGACACGTAGAATTTTAAGCTGGTAACGAAGATTGAAAGGCAAGCGCATGCTAACAAGGCCTGCAAACAGGCGAGGGAGGGGCGTTAACACATGAGCACCGGTGAATCGGGGCCTCTTCATTTAGCCTCGACATACACCCCTATGCTGCACGCCCAAAACAAACACACGCAGACACGGACACGCACACACACGCCAAAGCCGAGGTGAAGCAAGAGACAGGCGCAGAGGGAGAGGATCTGGCCAGATGGCTGTGTGAGTGAGTATGAGACATAGTAGGAGGAGAGAGATGTAGCATCCCTCCCTTCTCACATCTCATCATATTAATACTCCACCACTCCACTTAAACAGCCTCCATGAAACTGAAATTGACCATCAATGCAGTGTCATGTTAAATTAATATTGCCATCCACATAGGGGCAATGTGACTCCCTCACATCCCAGATGAGACGGGTAATGACTAATTAATTTCCTTGAGAAACCCTCCCACAATGTTTAACCCTCTCGCTCTCTCGCTCTATCCACCCCTTCCATATCTAGCCTTCGATGTTAGTCTCATTTTTAGAATGTTAAAGGGATACTTTGGGATTTTGGCGATGCCAGCAGATACCCATAGACTTCCAGTCATTGCGTTAACGCTAGTTAGCATTAGCTTGCAAAACTACCTCCATACTGGACACAGAGACATAAACATGGTATCCACGAATTCATCTGACTCTAGGGAAGTAGATAAAGGACATACAGTGGGGGAAAAAAGTATTTAGTCAGCCACCAATTGTGCAAGTTCTCCCACTTAAAAAGATGAGAGAGGCCTGTAATTTTCATCATAGGTACACGTCAACTATGACAGACAAAATGAGAAAAAAAATTCCAGAAAATCACATTGTAGGATTTTTAATGAATTTATTTGCAAATTATGGTGGAAAATAAGTATTTGGTCAATAACAAAATTTTCTCAATACTTTGTTATATACCCTTTGTTGGCAATGACACAGGTCAAACGTTTTCTGTAAGTCTTCACAAGGTTTTCACACACTGTTGCTGGTATTTTGGCCCATTCCTCCATGCAGATCTCCTCTAGAGCAGTGATGTTTTGGGGCTGTCGCTGGGCAACACGGACTTTCAACTCCCTCCAAAGATTTTCTATGGGGTTGAGATCTGGAGACTGGCTAGGCCACTCCAGGACCTTGAAATGCTTCTTACGAAGCCACTCCTTCGTTGCCCGGGCGGTGTGTTTGGGATCATTGTCATGCTGAAAGACCCAGCCACGTTTCATCTTCAATGCCCTTGCTGATGGAAGGAGGTTTTCACTCAAAATCTCACGATACATGGCCCCATTCATTCTTTCCTTTACACGGATCAGTCGTCCTGGTCCCTTTGCAGAAAAACAGCCCCAAAGCATGATGTTTCCACCCCCATGCTTCACAGTAGGTATGGTGTTCTTTGGATGCAACTCAGCATTCTTTGTCCTCCAAACAAGACAAGTTGAGTTTTTACCAAAAAGTTATATTTTGGTTTCATCTGACCATATGACATTCTCCCAATCCTCTTCTGGATCATCCAAATGCACTCTAGCAAACTTCAGACGGGCCTGGACATGTACTGGCTTAAGCAGGGGGACACGTCTGGCACTGCAGGATTTGAGTCCCAGGCGGCGTAGTGTCTATACTGATGGTAGGCTTTGTTACTTTGGTCCCAGCTCTCTGCAGGTCATTCACTAGGTCCCCCCGTGTGGTTCTGGGATTTTTGCTCACCGTTCTTGTGATCATTTTGACCCCACGGGGTGAGATCTTGCATGGAGCCCCAGATCGAGGGAGATTATCAGTGGTCTTGTATGTCTTCCATTTCCTAATAATTGCTCCCACAGTTGATTTCTTCAAACCAAGCTGCTTACCTATTGCAGATTCAGTCTTCCCAGCCTGGTGCAGGTCTACAATTTTGTTTCTGGTGTCCTTTGACAGCTCTTTGGTCTTGGCCATAGTGGAGTTTGGAGTGTGACTGTTTGAGGTTGTGGAACAGGTGTCTTTTATACTGATAACAAGTTCAAACAGGTGCCATTAATACAGGTAACGAGTGGAGGACAGAGGAGCCTCTTAAAGAAGAAGTTACAGGTCTGTGAGAGCCAGAAATCTTGCTTGTTTGTAGGTGACCAAATACTTATTTTCCACCATCATTTGCAAATAAATTCATTAAAAATCCTAGAATGTGATTTTCTGGAGAAAAAAAATCTCAATTTGTCTGTCATAGTTGACGTGTACCTATGATGAAAATTACAGGCCTCTCTCATCTTTTTAAGTGGGAGAACTTGCACAATTGGTGGCTGACTAAATACTTTTTTCCCCCACTGTAGTTGCCAAAATCCCGAAATATCCCTTTAAAAACGGCAAACCCGTTTTAAAACATATTTAAAGGGGCATATTTTTTCCAGTGTTGAATATTCAATCAAATATTGTGGGGACATAATATCCATGTCTGTCTACCACCCCAGGATAAACTGTTTTATCAAGAGAGGCCCTATCAGACATCATACAGCCAGACCAACACATACAAACCAAGCTCCTGTAACTTGTTTCTTTACACCTTCAGAAACTCATTGGGTGGGTTTGTGTGTGTGTGTGTGTTAGAGAGAAAGAGTGTGTGTGTGCATGTTTGGCAAGTGTGTGTGGTGCGTATGTGTGTTTGCCCATTAGTCCAACCCACCCCAGGCCTGAGAAGGTCAGACAGCTCTCTCAAGTGAAAAAGTGACCAATTTAGCTCAAAATGCAAATCCAGTTGCATTCTCATTGGCAAAATGCAAGTCTTTTTTTCAGGGGACAAATTGACAAATATGCGTGCAGCCTCCCACCATCTCCTGATTTCACTGATTAATCAAGTAAATAAAATCTTGGTTTAATTAAAATTATCTGGACGTGCTCCCAGTCCAAACACTGGCAGACTCCACAGTCCTGCTCCACAGCACTGGAAGAAGTGTCCACGATAAATGATCACATACAAAGAGAGAATAACTCAATGTAATGAGGGAACTTAGCAATAATAATAACTAGCATAAGCTGTCAAAATGCTAAGAAATAGGTGCATTCTACAAATAAGAGGCACAAAATGAAGAAACAAAAGGAAAAGCAATCTCATAAATAAAGAGATAATTCAATCGAAAAAGCTACCGGAAAAATAACGACATAACTCAATCGAGACCTCCAAATGTGCCCTTGACTTTGATAAACACATCTTTTTAAAGTGTCACTGTTTTCATTTGCTTAAGTAACACTTTTCCTCAGCTGGACCCAGAGTAATGGCGTTGTTTACATGGCAACATTAAATACTGTAGTAGGCTCATAAGGGGATATTACAGATTCAACAAATATCCCACAAAGGATACATCAAAATGTTGATCATTTGGCCTCATAATCTTTCTCTTATTGATGTTGTCTGTCCTTTCAGACTACTCGACTGTACATCAAACAGAATTGCAATTCAGTCTTACTGTACAGTATACTGTATGTGTGAGTCTCCCCATTCCACGTAACCACAAAGTGTGTATTTTTTTTTGGCCAGAGACATGAGGGGAATGCCAAAGTAAAGACAGTTAGTTTCTCTGCTTATATGCTTTTATTTTTCTGAACAGATCAATTGTAGGACGTACCCCAGCAAAACAGACTATACGCTAACCTGAACCAGTTTGCAATGGTGAGACGATGGTGACTCTTCCCCCATTTTAGAAGTTGAGAGGTCATCACAAACAGAAGTAGGCCTAATCATGTAGTCTCTGTGATTGGTGAGGGCACACACTTAGAGAAAGCAGCAGCAGCCTGAGTATCTGAGTAGTCTGACCCACATGACCGGACTACCATAGTGCATCGTGGCAGCACTCTCATTGACTCTGCTACTGGCAACCTCTCCGTCAACTCTCTGAGACGGTCCACACATCTTAACACTCCTCGGCCATTAGTCAGTCACTCCACACACACACAGAGAGACACAGACACAACCTCAGACACACAATACACCCAGACCGACCATAGAGCTCTGTCTGTACTCCAATTAAAGTCCCATTAAAGTTTGGGCTGAAAGGGGGACGGACCGGAGGAAGCAGAGAAGGGCATTTATTGATGGCGCCCTCACTTCTCATTCCTACATTAAGTTGATTTTAAAAGCAATTAATACACATGGTCAAGGAAGAGTAATGGAGCGCCCTCTATTCTTAATCTGCCGGACATTCCCCAGTCATAGACCTGACCAGCCGAACCCTGATTTGCATTATAAATGACAAGATAAATCTTAATGGATTGAGGATAATCAGCTCGCCATGAAGGCTGACACATACACACACAAGTTACACATACAAACACGCACACACACACACAAGGGAAATTAAGAGCTTTGAATACGCCTGCATTGATTATTTTAAATTATTAGCCCACCTCTCTTTGGGTCTCCAATGCTTTTAGCCTAAGCTTTAACACATTTACAGAGACTTATTGACTATAATTACAACTGAGTCTTGGTAATGGACACATCAATTATGAGTCGCACATGTCTTTGACCAGGCGGTGCACAGGGAATCCCAATCCGTGGTCCATTAGCGTCTCTCCTCCTGCAGCTCAATCAGTCTTTACCTTCTCCTTTCCTCCAACGCATGGCCTAAGCTCACACCACTACATGAACCATGTCTTTACATTCTCCTCTGATTCCTGGCCTAACCCTGATACCGCTATATATGCTAGACTACGGTATCTCAAAACCCGATGTCCAAAACATGTAACGATTGGTGAATTCTAAGTGGTGTATACACTGTATAATAACACCTATCAATATCAGTGATGCAGCTATCAATGACTTTATAATAACTAATCAAAAACGAAGTATGTATCATAAAAATAAAAATAAATAGCAGTGAAGGTTTTCAAATAAGTGTTTTGGAAGACAACGTACCTGTGTGTGTGCGAACGTGCGCCAGGAAGGCCATGGAGTTGCTGCTCTTGCACACCTTGCCGCAGTGCTTGCACACGCTGCCCTGGTTCTCCTCGCGCTCGCGGTTGATCTGCTCCGTGTCCTCCAGGACATACTTGTTGACCTCGCGCAGCAGCTCCTCATGCTTCTCCTTGATGTGCACGAACAGCTCCTGCTCCGTCTCGAACGGGTCCGTGCACTTGACGCACTTGAAGGTGGCGCCGCCCTCCGGAAGCTCCTCGATGCTGGCCTGCTCGTTGCGCAGGTGGGCGGCGCTGGTCAGGTGCTGGTGCAGGTTGCTCTCCGTGTAGAAGGACTTGCCACACAGCATGCAGTGGAAGTGCTTCTCCTTGGTCGGGTGCTTCATGGAGATGTGCACATTGAGGCCACTCATACCGTCCGCCACGAAGCCGCAGTCTTCGCAGCGGATGCGGGGGTTGGGAGTTAACCCCTTGGACAGACCTGAGGCCCCTACAGGTTTGGTTCTTTTGATCTTCAGAAAACTGCCCGCCCCGGCCAGGCCACTTCCAGCCAGGCCAGAGTGGCCCTCAACAGAGTGAGCCATGCGTTCTTCATGCAGAGCCAGCTCGGCTTCAGTCAAGGACTTGAGAGGTACGATGCAAGCGTCGAACGGCAGCGCCCTGGTGAGCTGTTTCTCTGCGGAAGAGATGTCGGGTTTCTCATCAGCCATCTCAACATCGTCGTCTGAACAGACTAGCTCTGGCTCCGCATCGGGCTCGGCCCCTTCCTTCTGGCCTTCCTCAGGCGGTGTTATGGTGATGTCTGCTGGTGCTTCCTGAGGCTCAATCGTACATGGAGCTTCGTTGCTGGTTTGTTCCGAGCCACCATCGGATGCCTCACCAGCCACCTGGATCTCCATGTTTTCCTCAACAACAGTGCCACTAACTTCCACTACTGGGGCTGCATGCTCGTTGCTCAAAACGTCAAAAGTCTGTGTGGGGTTAGTGGTAATATGCTCTGTGTCTGTGGGCTGGTCTGTAGCTGTGTCTGTGGGTTGCTCTGTATCGGTGATAGGGGGCTGGTCCTTGTCTGTGTTGTTGGGCTGGTCTGTGTCTGGGGGTTGGTCTGTATCTGTGTCTGTGGGTTGCTCTGTATCGGTGATAGGGGGCTGGTCTGTGTCTGTGTTGTTGGGCTGGTCTGTGTCTGTGGGTTGCTCTGTATCGGTGATAGGGGGCTGGTCTGTGTTGTTGGGCTGGTCTGTGTCTGTGGGTTGGTCTGTATCTGTGTCTGTGGGTTGGTCTGTGTCTATAATGTTAGGCTGGTCTGTAGTTGTGTCTGTGGGCTGGTCTGTGTTAGTGGGCTGCTCTATGTCTGTGTCAGGGGACACTGAGGGGGAGGGATCCTCAGTGTGAGAATTGTTGTCAGCATCAGGGTCATCTCTGCTCCCCAGCTCCATGGCCTCCTCCTCCGGCTGTACCAGGTCTTTTATCACAACGGTTTCCAGGTTCTCTAGGTAGACCTCACTCTTCTGCTTATGCTTGTCCGTGGAGGCGTGGCGAGACATCTCTCGACGCGTGACCGCGTAGTAGCTACACGCCAGGCACACAAACTCAAAGTCCCGGGTGTGTCTCCTCTTCACGTGGAGGTCGAGGGAGGGAATCGAATGAGCTACGAAGTTGCAATGGCTGCAGGAGTTGACCAAGTCGTACTTGCTCTTTTTCGGGCTGCTCACTTGTGCTTTGTCGTCGTCTTGCGACAGCTCCCCTGCTTCGTCCGTGGCCCCCTCCTCTCCTTTGGACCCTGCTCTGACTGCACTATTGTGATGTATAGCCTCACCCTCGCTGGCCTGAGAGCCTGACTCTGTACTCACAACCTGCACTGATGTATCCAGGTCCACTTGGCCATCACTGCTAGCATCCTCCATGCGTTTAAGGTGCTTCTTTGTGATACAGTGTCGGTCCATGTCACCTTTCGTCACACAGTTGTAAGAACAAAGCCTGCAGGTGTAGCTGTACTGCCGGCTGTGCTTACGACGAATATGGACGTTTAGATTGGTACTATTGGAAGCGAGAAGGCCACAGTATTCACATGTAGTTGCAGCAGGCCCCTTTGGCCTGCCTCTCCTCCTCTTGGGGGGTCTTCTCTCGTCCATGTGCTCTTCCATGTTCTCCAACACGGCTTTCGCAGCCTCAACAGCTTTCCTCATTAACATCAGGGTGCAGCTCTCCATCATGTCCAATGACCCCTACTGCCACGTCATCTGTCAGCATGTCGTCACCGACCGAATCTATGCTCACCTTGTCAACGCACTCCTCAAAGGAGGACCCTGTGTTTTTCTCCTCAGCCACATGCTGGTGGCTCTCCGAGGACACATGTGTGTCCATCCACTCAGATGTAGCGGTGTAGTAGTGGCAGATATTACAGAGGAAGCGATGCTCGCCATGGTGCTTTAGCCGAGCGTGGCTCTCCAGCAAAGCCGAGTTACTGACCCTGAATTCGCAGCTCCCGCACTGCAGCTGGAACCTGGCACCGAGCGCACGCTTGGACGCCCGGGTCTGAGTCATCCTGGAGGCAAAGATTTGAGCCTGTTCGGCTGTCTTCTTGTCCATGGGTGACGAGAGGCCAGAGGATTCCCTGCTTTCCGTGACTCGTTTGTTGTGCTTGTTACTAAGACAGTGCTTTTCGTAGTCGCACTTTGCCACACAGGCGTACAAGCAGACTTCACAGAAGTAATTCATCTCTTTGGTGTGGCGTCTCTTGATGTGTGTATCTAGGCTGGGCTTGTCCCTAAACTCGTGACCACAGTAGCTGCAAGCATGTATAGTCTTGGGCTTGGGGCCCCGTTTACCTACTATCTTCTTACCGGGGGTCTCTTCTTGCTCCTCCTCTGCTATCTCCTCTGTAGCTATTGTAGTCACCTTCCTATCAAAAATATCTCTCCCTGTCCCTTGTTTCTCAGCAATTTCCTCTTTGGCTATTATTGTAGTCACCTCCCCCTCAGAACCCCCTGCCTCTGTGCCCTGGCTCTGACTCTCTGTGGCATCCTGCTGTCTCTCACTGCTGCTCACTTTCTCCTCAGTGTCTCCACCTGTCTTGTAATTTGAACTCTGTGCTGTTGCTCCGGTTGTGGAGCCATCTATTTCAACAAGTACCTCAGCTGAGCTCACACCTCTGGTCTTTCCTCTACCGGTGTGCTTCCTCTTGGAGTGAATCTTCAAGGCAGTTGGAGTTTTGGCCACAAAGCCACAGATGGGACAGGTACAGCCATAACCTGTCTCCGGGGTAACGTTCACCTCAGCCCGAGGGGGCTGGTCTGACTCCTTCCCATCAGCCACCTCACCGCCGGTGTCCTCCTCAATCTCTCCTGTGCTTTCAGCTGTGACATCATCAGGCCTGGGCCTCTTCGCTGGGGAAGGAATTCCTCCACTCTCCATTTCCTCTGTGGAGACACTTCCTGTGTCCCCATGATGAGGCACCTTGTCCTCATTAATCTCCTTCCCTGACCTTAATTCTCTGTCCATGTTAGACACCTCCTGATGCCTTTACATGAGAAGAGGAAATTGGACTCTGTTCCAGCAATCAATTAAGTTATGATCCTGTTCCTGTAAAAGAACATTTAAGATGGGCAATCCTCATATAATTGACTGTGAAATTAGCTGAACAAAATAAATATAACAATACTGTGTTTCATTTAACAAAACTGTGTGTCAAATTGTATAGAAGGAGTAGGCTATTCAGAGATCATTCTGCATGTTCAAAAATGAAGTAGGCCAAATGTAGCTATCGGTCGCCATCTAGTGCTTTTAGAATGAAACTGTTCAATGATAAGGTGGTTGATGTTGGAAATTAGCATGTGATCAAATGACTATCTCTAGATAAAAATAAGCTAAAAAAACGGGGAAAGGCAGTGAGTGGTCAGTAGCATAGATTGAAGTAGGTTACAAGGGCCTAGATTATATTTACCTCTCCCCTTTAAATCTATTTAACTTCAAAGATACCTCATTTATAAACATTATACAATAGACTTTGTACATCTGATGGTTGACACAGTCTCCGAACAAGAACTCAGCCGGCTTAGATATTTCACTCTCCCTTCTTGTGACCTATCTACTGTAGTCTACATCTAGGCACCATCTCTCTGGATGGGGTCCCAATCGCTTGGGAGACTTTTGGCCAAAATGTCATTGCTATGCAATATTTGTTTCAGCCTGATGCCAAAAATATGATTCCCAATTACATGGGACATGGCCCCACCTTGACATTACAAGAACTCATTTTTGTTCCCCATCAAATTTTATGACTACTCTCCTCAAACTTTTAGATACTACGTCAAATGAATTATATGCGTGGTCAAGTTTGCTTTAAAAGTAGGCAATAATTTATAAATGTCTCAATTAACTCAACCTGACCTGAACCTTTTCCCACCTGTTCCAGTAACCCAGTCTAGCCACCCTCTCACATGCCTTGCCAAGACATGTCTTCAAAGTATTGATTTATCTCACAATAGTGTCAAATTGATGAGAGATTACATGGTAAAAAATATCAACGCAACATGCAACAATTTCAAAGATTTTGCTGAGTTACAGTTCATATAAGGAAATAAATAAATTAGGCCCTAATCTATGGATTTCACATGACTGGCCAGGGGCGCAGCCATGGGTGGCCATGGGAGGGCATAGGCCCACCCACTTGGGAGCCAGGCCAACCCACTGGGGAGCCAGGCCCAGCCAATCAGAATGAGTTTTTCCCCACAAAAGGGCTATATTACAGACAGAACTACTCCTCTGCACCCGCCTGCGAAGAAACCGGATGTGGAGGTCCTCTGCTGGCGTGGTTACACATGGTCTGCGGTTGTGAGGCCAGTTGGACGTACTAACAAATTCTCTAAAACGACGTTGGAGGTGGCTTATGGTAGAGAAATTAACATTTAATTATCTGGCAACAGCTCTGGTGGACATTCCTGCAGTCAGCATACCAATTGCACACTCTGTGGCATTGTGTTGTGTGATAAAACTGCTTGTTTTAGTGACCCTTTACTGTCCCCAGCACACGGTGCACCTGTTTAATGATCATGCTGTTTAATCAGCTTCTTGATATGCCACACCTGTCAGGTGGATGGATTATCTTGACAAAGGATTAAAATGCTCACTAACAGGGATGTAAACAAATGTGTTCACAAAATTTGAGAGAAAAGCTTTTTGTGCGTATGGAAAATTTCTGGCCTCTTTTATTTCAGCTCATGAAACATGGGACCAGCACTTTACATGTTGCATTTATTTTTTTGATCAGTGTAATTAAAGACTTCAAGGAGGTCAGGTGGTTACTGGAGTGAGAAAATACAGTATGTGATGAAAGTAGAATAATTAATAAGGGCATGAAAGGCACTTTGCATGTTTTCAGTCAGTCAGGGAGTGAGTACAATTATCTAACGAACTGTGTTTATCACTTGACAGCCAACCAGGTACATTTCACATATTATTGCACGAATTCAAACTGTATTTTCCTGCTGAAGACAGCCTGTCTCCACATTGCCCTGGACAGAGCGGAGTGTTAAGCAGAGGTAGGCAAGTAGCTCCTTATCTAACTAGCTTAGCATTAGCTAGCGTTAGCCACTTAAAGGAACGCGGGTCTAACTAGCTAGCTAGTTAGCATAGTTGTTCTGGTCCGGTGGTTATGCATGTACGAGATAGTTAAGGCTAGTGGCTACCAATGCCAGAGCGCTGCCAAAAGGAGCTAACCTAAGCTTTGGTACGGCGCGCGGCAAAACTTCTCAATTTATGGGTCATCGTTCCAATCGTATTTCTTCTAATTTGAGAAGAAGGGTATCGAGCAATATTCGACTTTTGGGAAATTAGCGTCAAAGTCGGTTTAGATGTACCTATTTCATTCAGACTCGTTCCTATTTGTGGCAACTATCATTTCGATTCGATATGTTCAAAATATTCATGAAAATACAGAAGAGCCAGTAATTTGAGTTACGTGAAGCCAATCCTATCAGATAACAGTATTTTCACTGTCGTCCAATGAGAGCGGCACAGAAGTGGGACTTGTTTGTTCCTATGCTCTGAAAACGACGGCAGCACAGAGGCCCAAAAAGGAAGCTAATGTCGACCTTTGAAATACTGGTGTTTATAAGCTAAACAGTTGCTGTACATAAATTGTAAATATCCATAATGCTTTAGGAATTACAGACCCGTATTTAAGTAATCGATATGATGGTAGTTTTAACAGCTTACCTACAATTTCCCCAGTATTCTCAATGTCCGCGCTTTTCCCCCTTGGTCACAAGTGGCGTACCGTAGCACGTACCATACGTCACTCTAGCAAACTGATGCCGCGTTCCAGACAACTCGGAAATTCCCGACTTAGAATGATGATGGGTTGGGGTTTAATGCCGCGTTCATATTCTAGTCGGAACTAGGAAACTCAGAAATGTCTGACTTGCTGATTCGTTGAACGCGTTCCGTGTAACACTTCAACCAGTTAGTAAGCCGGATATTTCCGAGTTTCCTAGTTCCAACTAGTACGTGAACGCGGTATTAGGGTAGGGACATCCCAAGGATCACAAATAGCACTGACCAAGATTATGCCACGTTCAAAACAACTGGGAGCTCGAAAATCTGCCCCACAAAGACATGATAGCCTGGGTGAAATATGGAGGCTGATTACCAGGCTAAATCCTTTCACATCATTGCAGATTAAATAAATAATAATATGCCATTTAGCAGACGCTTTTATCCAAAGCGACTTACAGTCATGTGTGCATACATTTTTACGTATGGGTGGTCCCGGGGATAGAACCCACTACCCTGGCGTTACAAGTGCCATGCTCTACCAATTGAGCTACAGAGGACCAAATGAGATTGCAGAGAGGAAACTAGCCTACTTTTTAGACAATTGAGATGCTCAACAACAGGTATCAAATGATCACACCTGTGATCAGGGGCTCAACTCCAGCAAGGCGAGGAAGGCAGAATCACAATCTCATAATGAGTAGATTTGGGATGCAAGGTGATTTGTAGATCAGTGATTCTGCACAGTCTGACTGCAATGTAATTGATCTCAAACATGCACTATTTCTCCCGTAATTCACCTTCAACCCTAGTCTTTTTTTGCACTGTCCCTGTATTCCACTGCTCTATTTCATTGGCAATTGTATACAGCCCACAAGTGGGAGCATCACTCCAGACAGACACACAATGTATCAATTAACATTGTCAGTGATTAATCACCGTAGTAGCCATGTGACATCCCTGTTCGTTGGTGAGGTTTGAAAATGGATTAATGTGCCTTAATTGATATGGTAGTCTGTCAGGTCAGGAGGTGATAAATTATACCCGTGCATTGAGTACACTGTTTACTTTCCCAGTAATTTTCCTTAATTCATCATAGTCAAAATTATATGACATGGATGGTTGGGAACGCAGCCCCCATCTCCAATTTTTCATTAGGTTCATTAGTCACTTGTACCCAGTTGTCTTTACTAAGGGAGGAAGGGTTGGCTATGTTGGATACTGACTGAAACTGCCTGTCTTCCTTGCAGGATGCCTCATCATCAATAAATTGATTTCACGCAACAAACCAACATTTGCTCTTTGGACCTTTCATTAGTTATCTCAAAGAAGCAATTGCAAATAGAACATTGAATTGGTTATTGATTTTTAACAATGATGGCTTGAGATACATTTTGATGTAACCCCATTGCAAATAATAATTTTAAAAAACACTGCTTGAATGGCTGACCATGCTTCTCCTAGAAGAACACTAGAGGGTGCTAAAATGTTTTTCCCCATGGTTAGTAATACATGTAATAACACAGAACCCATAATACCTGATTTAGGTATTTGCCTGTTAGATACAGTATGGATGGTGTGCAGTACTGCTACCAGGGTTGAGCGAATTATGAAATAATGACTATTAAAATGATAAGATATGTAATAATAAAAAGAGTAATCTAATGTGATTGTGTTGTTACTTTGACTATACTTTGGATAGTGCATGTGTTGTGTTGTCTCATTCCTTTGTACTGAGGGGGAGGGGGCTACCAGGTGATTTGCGATCACATGTCCAGGTGTTTTAGATCAGTGCAGAAATTGAGATCAGAAGAGGACCCTGAGCAGTCTTGAATGAGATGGTCATATTTTACAGGATTTGTACCTCCAACGTAGACTTTGAAGCAATAGGTTACTTACTGTACAATAAAACAACTATTACAGATTGGCATATTTCTAATAATCCATCAAGTTATTTGAATCCATGAAATATAACCTTATTTTCCTTAAGGACGCTCTCTATAAACCGTAACAATATATGTTATGCAATGCCGTGAAAATCAATTTGAATTGTGACTAAGTCATAAACTATCAAATGCTTTCTGAGTTCCTTGTTACTACTGTCTTGCCCTAGAAACAACTATTGTAGAATACCTGTGGGTTATCACAGTTCAATGACAAAGAGGAAGGCCTCTCCTTGGCCTTCAACTCTGCTTTTATGACAGTATTTTTGAATTGGAGACAATAAA